GGGGGGGGGGGGGCTTATACAATATACAAGGACGATCTTTTGTGTTAGTGTAATAGTGATAAACAAGTATAGTAATAGTGATAAACAAGTGTTAAGCATAGTAATAATAGTGATTAGTATAATTACATAGGTGATTATTGAAAATTCTCCACGCTGATTGGTTGCCGTTGAGGTGATTATTACGCGATAATCACCTAAGCGATTTTCAAAATGGCGGCCGAAGCCTTTTTGTCAATTAATAGTGGTAATAGTGATAAACAATAGTGATAAACAAGTGGGCTTATATTCGGGTGGGCTTATATTCGGGTGGGCTTATATTCGGGTGGGCTTATATTTAGAATGAGGTGAGCGTTAGTACATGTGGTGGGCTTATATACATGGGGGTGGCTTATATTCGGGGGGGGGCTTATATTCGGATGTTTACGGTAATTTGTAGCAGTGAGAGTTATGGAAACTTATTTGGATAGGACAGGATATAATACTTATGGTACCGCTAACCAGTATCCAGAAGCGGGATACTGGTTTTCAGGGGTATACTAAACTTTGAATCCTGCTTGGTATCTCAGTTAGATAGTAAGAAAAATATAAATTTCATACCCTGAATTGTTATTGCTTTCTATTAATTATGCAGGCAGAACAATCCAGGCATCAATTTCCATGTCAATGTACAGCCGAAGAGAGTCGTATGAATATGGCTATCGGAGAAGCCCATACGATCGAGGCGAAGACCAATGCGCTTGAGCAATCTGACAATATGACTGATGCTATTATAACAGAAGATATACGATCAAGTTCAAGGTTGATTCAAGGATCATTTCGTCACGGAAGGGCCAGAGGGGGGACGTATGATGTTGCGGTTTTACAATCTATAGATGAACAGCCCACAACATCGACGGTCAGGCGACGAAAAAATAAATCGAACCGTAGCGAGATAGCATTTGTGGAACAAAACTTAGATAAAACCCGTCATGTTATAAAATCTGTGGGAAAAAAATCGGGTGAAAAGATGACATCAAATAGATTTGACCCTCTACCAAACAGGTTCAACCCTTTATCGGTTGAAGAGGCAGCCATTGTAAAACCAGACGAAACAAATGCTTGTACAGTCATGAACGAGCATCTGATATGTGCAGTTTGCTTGGATTATTTTTACAAGCCCTACCGATGCCCTTGTACGCACATATTCTGTGAGTCGTGTTTACGTCAGTTGTACCATAACCGCGCTGGAACATTAAAATGTCCCATCTGCCGAAATCCGGTTAAGTACATTGAAGAAGCCGATGAGGTTAGAGAAGAGGTACGGCAGCTTCAAAATCCTGCAATTAAACAAAGAGAAGAGTTTGAAAGGACAGCGAAATACAGGATGTGGCCTTTGCCTCCAATCGGCCCTTTGCCATTTTTAAGAAAACGACAAACTTTGTTGCCAAAACGGGACCAAAATATTCTTATCTTAGCCACTATATTATTGTTGGTTGTGTGTTCTACAATCTTGTATATATTGTCATGAATGACCTCAGTATTATTCTGAATCAGGGTGTTTAGTAAGTTGGCCATGTTTACATGTTATCACAACCAGAACTGGAAAAACATGACAGTCAGACAGATCATACATGTATATAGTCTATCGAAGGGAAGATGGCTGTGAAACTCGATCATTATAGAATAACAACATAGCTCATTATCTATGTTAGTCAACGTTTATTCATAAATCTGGTCCTTCACCGTCACGTGTGTATTGTACGTATTTTTGCCCAACTAACCAATAGCAATGTTTTAGGAAAGTTAATATACCTGTCCGTGACATTGTCCGTGACTCGAACATTTACCGCCTGTGCGCGCTGTCGTATTTTAATGGACATTTGCATTATAGACTAAATTTTCATCTCAACAAGTCTAGATAAAACTTTCATCACAGCTTGAAAGAGCATCACAAAATTAGTAATATTCCAAAGTTTCGTTGCGAAATGTTGTAAAATGCGGATAATATAGCCTTGCGAAGTTTGCCGTTTTTCAGTCATTTTGCACTATACGCGGGGGAAATTGACAGCCCAATACCTTTTGGGGCTGTCAATTTCCCGTTTGTAATACAAAGTGACTGAAAAACAGCAAACTTCGCAAGGCTATATTATCCGCATTTTACAACATTTCGCAACGAAACTTTGGAATATTACTAATTTTGTGATGCTCTTTCAAGCTGTGATGAAATTTTTATCTAGACTTGTTGAGATCAAAATTTAGTCTATAATGCAAATGGTCCATTGTTACACATATTTTATCGTTCTAACATTCTTTAAAACAATAAAAATATTTTGTTCAGTGCGTTTCTGCTGTAAACGAGTTAAAAATTATCCTGGTTGCCAGGGGTTCTCGTATCTTTCGCCTTATTCCCGTTCGTATAGTTAAAAGTATAAAGGCTTGCAAAGCTATTTGACGGATTAGTGAAAACTACCCTATACTAGCCAGCCATTAGAATATAAAATATTTCGTTTTCAATCCGTCAAATATTTTTGCAACAAGATGTGTTCGCACTGCGCATGCTTGTTCCCAGTTGTTGACAAGTCCGGAACCAATAGACCTTTCCCTTTATAACCAAAATTTTGATCTAGGCAAGTCTAGACAAATATTTCATCACAGCTTGAAAGAGCATCACAAAATTAGTAATATTCCAAAGTTTCGTTGCGAAATGTTGTAAAATGAGGAAAATAGAGCCTCGCGAAGTTTGCCGTTTTTCTGTCATTTTCTATTACAAACGGGAAATTGCAGCCCCAACACCCGAATCGGATGTCAATTTCCCGTTTGTAATACAAAATGACTGAAAAATGGCAAATTTCGCAAGGCTATATTATCGGCATTTTACAAGATTTTGCAACAAAACTTTGGAATATTACTAATTTTGTGATGCTCTTTCAAGCTGTGATGAAATTTTTGTCTAGATCGAAATTTTAGTTAAAAGGGGAAAGGTCCATTGCTATCAAAAGGTCGTAGGTTCGATTCCCACCGTGGCCAGGCATATTTTTCAAGCCTGCCCGGTGTTGATATACACTCAGAGGAACATCACAAGCGTCTTATTCACCTGAGTACATTACACCAAAACAGCAAATACCTTGTATCAAGTTTGATGAGGTCAACACAGATTCGCAACAATTAAGTTGTTCTAACGAGTCTGACTCTGATCGTCTGACTGCACGTAACAAGTTGTTAACAGGTCGATGACAACAAGCTCGTAGCAACTTGTTACGAACAGTCTGTAACGAACGTGAACAACCTCGTACCAATGTCAGAACAACTTTTGTTCCTGCTCGACAAGAATCTTGTTTACAGATATGTAACAGCCACAGGTAAAAGTCACACTCCCAGCGCTCTTAATCAAAAAGTTTATTTCCTCTGAAAATTTACAATTAACATCTTATTTTCCTCACAATCCTAATGCAAATAGAAATATAAAAAAAAGTACATTAAGGTCCCATACATTACAGAATCCCAAACAAATTAGTTAATATCGGTCCAGTCGGTTTCCATATCTGAGAGATCACCGGCTTCCTGCTTGGGCCACGGTGATTTCCACGCGAGAGGTTTGGTAAATTTCCGCGCTCCCTTCTTACCCCGCTTTGCTCCCCAACATTTCTTTTTACCCCTCGTTTCGCTCTGTTGCCTAGAGACGCTGTAAGCACGTAAGCGTTCCTGTTCCTCCACACGCTTTAACGCTTCGAGTTTTCGTTTGCTCGCGCGTTCCTCACTCGCGCCGAACGCGATGTCGTACGCGGCAGATACGTTTTCAAAAGGCAGTTGGCCGTAAATTGAAAATGGTCTGCTGTCTTTTCCTAAACGAAGGAAAAGAACTTAATAAGATGCGCTCTCGAATATGTAAAGTTCATTAAAGTGTATATGACATGAAATTTCTTATTTTCTTAAACGAAAGAACTCTTTAAGCTGTAGTGTAACTTATTTTTCAGTTTCTTGTTTTTATGGTTTGTTCCAGAGATATTTCAATTTGTTTGTTATTTAAATGATTTGAATATGTCCGCTAATTTATGACGTCATGTTGGTTGCAAGCTCAACTTACACTGGTTATAAATGTATTAACTCGAAAAACTGGAGATATCTGTTCACGTTTTTCTACAGTGTTTCATCACATTTACCAGTGAATGAAGTTTGAAATTATCATCTTGGATGATAGCAGTGATATTCAACCATTTTGAAGAGCTTGCAACCAACATGACGTCATAAATTAGCGGACATATTCACACTCATTTACATATCAAACAAATTGAAGTATCTCGGGAACAAACCATAAAAACAAGAAAGGGGGCATTCCCAAAGGATGTCCGAGCCAAGGGGGGGAGGAGGGTTTGGAAAATCAGGACAAACTCGGACATAGGGGGGGGGG